TGCGAGTAGAGACAGTCAGCAGAGGGATGAATCACTCCATACCCAAAACCTTCAGCCGAGTTACAATAAGCTTCTACTTGACCGTCTCTGCCTTCAAGATTCACATTGTTGAGGACAATGTGGCTGCAAGGGACAGAGTCGCTGCATGCAAATTTGATGGCTTTTTCGCTTTTGGTTGTCCCGGTTATGTTCCGGTACATTATCTGGCTGATTTTAACCGCTGAGGTCTACATTATAGAAAAAAAGTAAACAAATCTGAGTTACTTTTCATCTTTGAGGTTATATTGTGATTGTAAACATTACCTGGTTTTGACATGAAGTTGGATTATCGCAGTAAAACTGATCAATGAGTATAGGGTTAGAGACGTCTTGCATCTGAACGTTAGTGAATCGAACATCTTGAACATAACCAGAACCTCCCTGTTCCAAGTACACACAGTGAATAAAAATTGATGTGGTTAGAACTTTTAAGTTTATAAGAGTTATTTTGTTACCTGATATGTTTTGATTCTGAGTCCATTAGTTGTCTCTTTCAAGAAGGCAGTGTCCAACACAACGTTTGTTACAATGCCTGTTGAGTTATTATTCCCAAGACTACCAATGCTGCAAAAAAAAAAATTCAAAGATTATAATTTTGATTTGGGAAAGATGTTATCTAGTAATTTGATGATGTTACCTGATTCCATGTCCAGGTCCACAATAGATCTTCTTCATCTTTATATTCGAGCTTGCATTCACAATCGAGACACAATCATCCCCTGTTTAAATTCAATCTTATTACATTTGTAGTTGGAGTTCAAGAATCTTTCATTTGTAGTTTAAGAATGTAAAAAGGCAAACCTGTGCCGATTTTGCAGTCTTGAAGGACAACATTGGTAGAACCAGTGATATGGATACCATCAGTGTTGGGACTATCTCCTGGAGAAGAGACCATAACATTGGAGACTCGAACTGAGTTTGACCTTGCAATAATGAAATTCATCTGCTGGCTGTTCTGGATCGTCAAGCCAGTTACTTTCACACCTGAGCTAGATTCTATAGTTAGTGCCTGTACGGTAAGAAAACAAGAAGCTAGTTGAAACAAATTAAACAAAATACCATTATTAAACAAAAAAAACTGGTCAAGGCCACTGTTTCTTACCGTTGGTGCACTTTTGCAAGGCTGCATGAGAACAAGAAAAATGTAAGATTCTGATAGAAAACTTTGAGACCTTTAGATTTTTGAGTTAAAGAAAGCTACATTAGACTTGTTTTTCTTGCAAGAAGCAGCCCACCATTTGCTGCCAGAACCATCAATAACTCCATTCCCTTGGAACACAACTCCTTTGAGTTTCGAAAACTCAAGCCAGATTCTTTGGAACTTTGGGTCCCAGTTGCTAGGCTCATCTGGTGCCACTATTTTTCCATCGATCTGTAAAATAAAGTTTCTGAATGAGTATATATATATGATCGTTGTCTAGTTTCTGTTTTGCTCCTGAATATAACAAAAATGTTATACGTTAAACTGACCTGAATGACCAACTTTGTTTCACATGGACCATTAAACTTTGTTGCATTTACTAAATAAGTCCGTCCTTGTGGTACAAGCAACACTGATTTTGGCATACCACAGGCCTTGTTCCATGCACTCACAAACGCCTGATTTGAGAATAACTTACGGTTCAAGTTTTTTGGAAAAATGTTTAATAATGGAGTAAGCAAAATGATTTTAAACAAACCTGAGTATCATCAGAAACACCATCTCCAGCTGCACCAAATGTATCCACATTCACTAGATTCTTACCAGAGCTTCGGCTTGTGAATGACGGCAAATCAAAGAGCTTAGTATCATCATCATCATCTTCAGGTATGTCAAAGTTCTCAAGCTTCTCAAGGATGTCAAGATCAGTGTACACCATTTTCGCAACAACTCCAGAAACCATTAGTATACCAATAAGAGAAAGAATGAAGAGCTTGTCCATCATACGCCTCAATCAAAACACCAAGAGAAGATTCTTGTTTTAATTATATTCTCTGCTCACTAATGAGACTTCTTTTGCAGAGATTATTGGTTTGAGGTTGAATTTATATGAATACTAATTAATGGGGTTTGTGGGGTTTTTATTGGCTTAGCTTAAAAGTACAGAAGAGCACTTGTTTGTCTACAATATCTATGCTTAAAGCACAAGTCATGTGCTTTTCCACTTCTTTGCTTTACTCCAAAACCTCTACAGCACAAAAAAAACCTTAGTGGTCAACTTGTTCTTGAGGAATACTGGTCCCATGAGATCTGATATAAGAAAACAAAAACATAACGAGAAAGAAGGCCTTGAGAATCTATCAACTCTTTTGTACCTCAAGATGCTATTTCAAGATCTTTAGACGTAGCATGGTTCTGAAAAACGAAAAGTTGGCATTCTGTAGTATATTACATGACAGAAAATTGGAGGTTAATGAGTTTGTTGCACCAACCTGGAAAGTAAAGAATCTTATCCTCTTGTGTTGTCTTTGTAGAGTGTCAATCATGTGTGATGGCTTCAAAGTGAAAGAACCAATCTTCAGATTTGAACTTTGTAATTAAGTTGGCTCTTCTTTTTCATGAAGCTAAAGCAAAACACTGTCCTGATAATACATACAAGATTGCCGCAAGCAGAGAGTTCAAATATATTTTGTGCCTTGCGTCACAAGTATCTACCAATCAACGTCTTTACACAAGGAAGGCGTCTTTTACTTTTATGCAATATTAGGGTTCAAGTAACATACAAATCCAACCTTTGACATTTTGAATAAAGATAAATTTTATTTTTGATTTTACACAGACGATCACAAAAGGATCTTTCTTTCAGATACCTCCAAACAATAGAACACAAAGCTTCCGTAGAAGGATATATATACATGACATAACACTTACAAAATGGTGAAGGAGACTAGCAAGTAGTTGCAATAGCCTCCAAGAGAGAAACCACGAACAGCATCTGTGTTTCTTCACTGATTTGGGAGAACAAAGGAACGTGAACAAACAGAGACTTGTGTCCCTTTTGCTCTGCGAACCTCAGAGAATGATAGTACACATAGTTGCACACAAACCGTCCAGCGTCGTCTGATTCAACCACGTCGAAACCTTTGTTCTTCAGTAACTTAAGAATCGACTCTGTCGAACATGAAGTCTTTAACAACACCAAAAGGAAAAAAAAAAATATTAGATAGTTGCAAGTAAGAGAAGAAACTACTTGCACTGAAGGTGTATGTTACATATATATATACCTCTTTTGCTTTTGTAATACTTCCATCTTCAATAACAATAGGAATCCTCTGTGTAAAGAAACGTTAAAAAAGGGAAAATTAGTTTCTGAGAGTGGCTCTTAGTAATAGTAGAGCAATCTTTATACCTGTGGTTGCCAGCCTAATTGATCAGGACAACGGAAATGAGCTTCGTTCACTGCTTGCCTTTCAATTGCAAACTTTGTCGCTCCACTGTTTACTCCAAGATGAAGCTAAAGAAGCACAACAGCCAAGAGAAAAAAGAATATCTTTTAGACCTTTAAACCATCAGAATACTCTCAAATGTTCATTTTTCTAAGTTATAAGCTCCAAACACACATCTAGTGAGAAGCAGAAAACATCAGACGACACTAGAGTAGAAAACAGAGTCTATCTCACCCAAACAACAGTTCCATTGATGTTCTTATCTTTTCCAGAGATAACAGCAACACTAGACTCCAAAACCTCATAAAGATGAGACTTTGCACCTTCCCCTGCAGTCTCAAGAACAGTACAGCTACCAAGACTCAACCCAGAAGGCAACCCTCGTTTTTCCACAACCGACTTCAGATTATTAGCTATTTTCTCAGTAGGGTTCTCGGAAACACCAAGAAACTTCTTGAAGCCAGTCACGTGAATTGTAATAGCTTTTGGTCCTTCAGAACCCATCTTCTCCAACCTTCACAAGTGATCAAAAACATATACAAAATCAATTGAACATATATGTATACCACCGATAAGTAGACCAAAATCAAACTCTAAGATCGTTCGTGAATACAAAAGAAAGGAGCAAAAGGGTTGATTCAGTTCGTGATAGATTGATTAAAAATTGAATCTTTGTACCTGAATCTCTCGAAAGGTTTTGTCTTTTTGACTTCTGGGGGGTTGTGGAAAGAGGTAATGAAACTGCGCTTTGTGTTTCTTTCTTCTGACGAATAGAGTGAGAGGATTGAGTTTTGTCGCGGTGGACTTTTTTGATTCTATAAGTACACGCCTAGATGGAACGCCCAACGATTATGAATTTATTAACGAGAATGCCATTTGCGTCGAGGAAAATGAAACGCTTCCGACACCTTCCGAGGTGGTCGTTATCCAATCGGTGATAATGGAAGGATGATGACGTGGCTTTTTTTTATTAAGAGATGTTAAAGAAGATTAAAATAGTATTTTGAAACAAATTGCCACGTGACTACCCGCAATCCGTTGATTTCTTTCTTTAATCTAAAAAGTTAAATAATAATAATTTAAAAAGTTTTAAAATATTTTTTCTAAAAATTCTAATGGTGTATCATTGTTGGAGATGATCTTAGATTAGACCATGTTCGTTTAGGTGTCGCGCGACCTACGATTTGCGATTTGCAACTAAGATTGTGTTCATTTATGTGTCGCGCGATATGCGACCTGCGATTAAACCTACGACTAAAATTATGTTTATTTACGTGTCACGTGACTTGCGATCCGCGATTTGTGATTAGTCGCGCGACCAAAAACTTTTTTAATATTTGATCACTATTTTTTCGGACGACTTAAAATTGGATCCTGCGATTGGTCGCACGACATCCAAACGAACGACAACTTGTGACTGGTCACAGATCGCAGATTACGCAACAGTAAAACGAACAACAATCTGCGACTGATCGCAGATCGTATGTCGCAGGTTGCAGTTCGCGCGACACCTAAACGAATAGGACTTGTATCAAGGATTTTACACTAATTCTTAACTTAATGGGCTTTAGGACCATATTAAGTCATAAACCCGTAAAGAAATGACGATCAACAACTGAAATAGATTTTTTTTTTTTGTAGACAACTGAAATAGATGATCTTCCATGTTTTTCACTATTGTTAAACTGATGGGTTTTAGACCCATATTAAGTTATAAAGCCCATAATCACTAAAAAAAGATGCCGTTTTCAACAAGAAGCATGTGGAAGTGGATGTTATCTTTTGGAATAGTCAAAAGTAGAATTGTATTCGATGTAAGATAATGAATCAACTGTAATGCGTACACATGTTTATCCCGGTTACTAGATTAATTATTTCCTTATAAGACTCAACAGAAGTGAGCCATATATCTTTGATATAGATACGAATCATTATAGTCCTCCTCGGGTCTTCTAAGAGCATCTCCAACCGCACTCCAAAACCCACTCCAAACTCCATTTTGCAGTAAAATCATCTCCAACCCTACTCCAAAACTCACTCCAAAATGGAGTAACAAACATGATTACTCCAAATATGGAGTAAACCAACTCATTACTCCAAAATGGAGTTGAACTTTTTTATTTATCAAATAGTCCTCCACATTTATATATGTTTCATTTTTAATAAAATACTATTATAAATAAGTACTATATATATTATAAAATTTACTGTTATATTTCTTAATTATATAAATAGCCTCATTTTCAATAAAATATTATTATAGATAAGTATATTAATATTATTTTACTATATATTAGAAAATTTACTATTAATATTTCTTAATTATATAAATAGCCTCGTCTTTAATAAAAATATTATTATAAATAAGTATAATAATATTATTTTACTATATATATTTTAAAATTTACTGTTAATATTTTTAATTATATAAATAACCATCTGATGAACTCTTTTATACAACATAATATATATAATATAAAACATAAAAGATCATACATATAGAAAATGAAAGATAAGCACCATACAAAAGAAATAACATAAAATAAAACTTACAACAAATATAATTGCTTAATAGTCCGATAAATCATTTTCGGATCCATTAAAATTATTAAAATAATCCGATAAAATATTATTAAATTCTTACATAACATGATAATAGAAGATGATTGTGATCTCGAGGTGCCAATTGAAGTTGAAAGAGAAGTCCTGTCAAGGAAAATTGAAATTGAAGAAAATAATAATGTGAGGTTCCAAAAGTTTCTTTCCCATTTCAGAGAAATCAAAGATAAAGAAGCTCATTTTTTACTTCGAAATGTATTAGTTGATCATTTGTGAGAAAATTATTATAATTCTAATGAATAATTTAGAATTGATGTATTATTGTGTTTAAACTATATAATGTAATTTTTAATGTATTAAATATATTCTTTTAAAACCTTGTTGAGTAGTTTTATTTATATAATAAAAATTTAATTGTGATTAATATTCTATTTAATAGAAATGCTATAAATTTAAAATGGACTGTTCTGCAAATAGTATAAATGAAAGGTGATATTCCTAATTTTGAAATAAATATAATATTAAAAATATTATTTTGGAGTAGAAAATGGAGTAATACATTGGAGTAAAACTCAACTGCATTTTAGAGTTACTCCATTTTAGAGTAGAAAATGGAGTAATACATTGGAGATGCTCTAAATTTTCGTTCAGATAAGAAAAAGAATGATATCTTTGTCGAAAATGGAAAATGGAATATTTTCTGCTTTTAGACCTTCGCTTTAGACATGATTTAAAGTAGGTTATTTCTAAAAAAAAATGATTAAAAAGAAACCAATTATGCAAATCATATGAACCGTCCCATTTATTTACACAAATGTATCCAATCAAATGACTATACTATTAGTTACATACAATACAAGCATCACGGGTCTTGAAAAGGTCAAAGTAGAGGGGACTCACCGGTCGCCACTTTGTTAGGAAATTGACTTCAGGGATGGTGGTGACTGGTGAGATCGAACGAGTCCACTAATAGGGCATTTGCACAGTTATTTGACTATTTAATTAATTTTCAATAATGCATCTACATAAAATAAATGACAAATCAACTATGATTAACGTGGCACGAACTCATTAGTTTTGAGTTTGACTTATTTACTTATGTTTATTTGTATATATCAGTTATATATACATTACATCTACCAAACTTTTTGTTAAACAAATGAGGAACTATAGATTTCCAAAAATATAAATAATATTTCACTTTGCATATCGGAAAACTCATAAAATAGGGGTCGATACGGAGTGGAATTTGCAACATATATGTGATCCGCTCCACTTCGTTTCCATCCGTTCTATCCAGTAAAATGTATATTTTTAATTGGATGTCTGAATCAAATCATAAAAAATGAAGTTGAAATAGATGGGGCATGGGGGACTAGGATAGGACATTATGCATATCGTCCCACTTAAAAACTTTAGCTTCCTTTTTTTAAAAACAAACATGATCATGGTTTTAACAACTACATATATATAAACCAACTTCACTGTAAAAGCAAAACAAAAAAATCCAGCTCTAGTTTTTGTTTAAGTCTTAGACCATCTCCAATGGGGGTTCTATCCCATTGGAGTTCTAAAATTATATATATGTATATATATATATATATATTATATACATACACATATATATAGTTTTAGAACTAGATAGAACTCCCATTGGAGATGGTCTAAGACTCCAGAATTTCTTGTATCTTATTATATGCTCAATTTTCTTTTAACATTTCAGGATATGTTCAATTATGGAATCACCGAGCAAAAGTTCTAGACCGGGTCAGGCCCACATTCCATACTATAGGGTCGTTCTCTACTATCTTTCTCTTGTTTTCCGTTATCATTGTTTATTTCGGTAAGAGTAAGAACATCGAGGTAAAAGATATGAACTGAAGGACCACAATGACAGAACTCAGAAGCAACGTGAAAGAATGATTCAAAGACAGCTTTTCCGTTTTCTGGTGAGTCGAAACCTTAATGTGTTAACTTTAGAGACATTTTAAGATCAGGAAACAAAATTAAAGGCAAAGTTTGAACATCGTTTGATGGACCACAGACAGAAATCTAAGGACCACTTCCAACAAAAGAGAATATTAACTCAACAACCAATAACACTTTGCTGCATCATATGATACGATGACGATGATGTTTCTCTTCTTTCTGTATCAAATGTATCCCCACAACATCACCAGGTTTTCGAGTTTATACTTTAATACACAAACATGCACGTGCGAGTTTCGTATGAAATAAAATTAAACCTAATAGAATAGTTTTTTCTGTTGGTGATATTAAAAAAAAAAAAAGAAAACTCGGGTATTAGAGTAATAGTAGTGATTATGGACGTAAGTGGAAGCCAATTCTGACCCAAAAAAATGGTACGCATATATTCTCCGACCGCAGTGGACATAATAGTGCTGCCGATGAATTATTATATGATGAAAAGCACCTTTGGGCATTGTTACAGTATTTTTTTTAAAAAAGATTACCTTTTGTATCTTCATTTGTTTATATATGATCTTAGATTTAGACCGGTTCTCTACCACACATTTATGAAAATCGATCTCGTGAAGAGTGTTATCTTACAAGTGGTTGATCAATCTAACTCTAGTAAAAACAATCAATAGATATGTATTGATCTTTTGCATCTTATGGTAGTTGCAGATCTTGTGTGTGTGTCATAGTATATACAAAAAAAGGAATAAATTCTCGCGTACTAGCTAGACTGGAAATAATAAATGAAGATATTGACCCGAGAAGATAATATAGTAACAGGTACAACAACAAATGGCTCATATATATAGTTGCTAATTCAGTAAGCATATAACAATATATGGTTCGTGCTATTATTTTTGTTGTCGTCAGTTCGTGCTATTTAAGTTGCATTTTATTAGATTTATATTCCCCCATGTATTATAAAAACATAACTCATTATCAACTGTTGATATTTTCCAGCTAATAAAATAACAATGAAAATGAATACAGGTTGTTTGTCTGACTCCGTCCTCGTAGTACATTTGGATTGGCTTAAGTGGATGTTTTATATTTGGTTGAAAATGGAAAATGAGTTAAATATGAAACAAAATCTGGTTTACGTCCATCAAGAGGTGATGGTGAATATATAAGTCTTGATTATGAACATCAAAGACCGAAATATTAGGTGTTCTATACTTCTAGTTATTCATTTTCTTATCCAGACGTTTCAGGTCCATCGTAGTCCACAGATTTACTTATGGCCGGGTTAGTATTTTGTTCACTTCCTAGCAGATATGTTCACATTTAACTTTGTTGAATAATTTTCTTTAATTTCTTCTTGCATAAATGAGACCAATTATTAATTTGTTATGCTCAATAATGATCAAGTGGTAGTATGAAATTCTTTCAAATAATCACGCAAATCTCTTTATATAATAAAACAAATTCTTTACTTTATCATAAATCGATCAAAGGTGGTATTAACACTGATCCCATATGTTTACACTGCGACTACAAATAATTCTTATTAGCCAGGAATGGGCATATACACTCTCCCCACTGATCGAATCATATCAATCATTTATCTTACATACCATGCTCGAATATTATCAATTATTTGTTCTGCATTATATATATTCCACATAAAGATATCCAAAGTTTTTAAATCATGCATGGAGCATTCACATATAAATCTAAATATATGCAATAAGTCATATGTACTATTCTTTGCTCTGAGATATCTGAAAAAAAAAAATCAGCCTAAGATAAATGAAAAGCGATAATATTTATAAACATACAATTATAAGAATGGGAAAAGTACCAACATTATAACCTTAATTACTCTTTATTTGATTTAAACATTTCTATCGTCCGCTATATATAAGCCTATAATTATTGCTATATTAGGACCAGATATAACTATCAATTCAATCTGATGTATGGTTCAAGGTCATGAATGAATATATGGAGCTAACTAGTACTCCAAAACATCAATAAATTTGGGTGCGATTCAACTGTCGAGATCCAAGAAAGTGGTATGGAGGGACCAAAGCAATGCTTGTTTTTTACATGGATTCATACGAAACCGTAGCTTTGTGTCAGATAGTTTTGGAACAAACCTGGCCCGGACATGGATGGGTCAATCAAATGTCCATCAACAAGAAGACACATTAGCACATCTTATCTTTTTAGCGAAAATAAATAACACCTATAAATAGTAACCTGTAATAGGATATGTTTTTAAGGTCTTGCTATTTAATTTTGCGTTAATGATATACATTATTTATGCAAAATATAGAAAAACTGAAGTCACTAAATTTGGTTTCAATGTTACTAATTCACTAATTCTAGATTTAGAAGCATTAAAAAGTCATTAAACATGGTTTATTTTTTATCAAAGTCATTAAACATGGTTTAAAAATCAGAGTTTGTGGAATTTTTTTTTTAATATTCAGAACTTTAAACTACTACTAAGCATAGCAGCAATATGCAAAACTCAGAGCCTGTAAAGTTTTTTTCCCATTTTCTGTATCTATATCTCCTCCATCGTCCATATAGTTATTGTCTACATCTTTGTGAAAACCACAAACCGGTTCAAACCGACAAGTATACATCACTAACAAAATTAATAGCGATGTTTGTAGAGAGAAGTACTAACATTTTTGAGAACTTATGTACTAATATTTTGCCTAATTAAGCTGTTTTACAAATGTTAGAAAAATATATACTTGATCTGTTTTGCTAAGATAAACAGTATACTGGGCTGATAGGATACTCAATAAGTTCAGCGCTTTAGCTGCATGTCTAGACAGTAGTAGGTATGGACAAAAATTAAGCCATGTATATATACGGTTGCATTATTTGGTGATAAATTATTGCAATTATATGGATAGGTAGGGAGATAGGTACAAGAATATGAAAATAATATATCAAATCACAAAGCCTACGGATACTGATGGGAAATTAATAGAAGAAACAAACTAAGCGAAAAGCAATCATAAAACCATGGGCAATGGCCAATGGGGTATTCAATCCCCTTTTCAACAGTTGAACAACATGCAACGAGGGTGTTGTAATTTTGGTATTCAACTCAGTTGAATTCTTTAACAACTGAAAAACAAAATTTCAGACCCCACTTTGCCATGTGGCACTTTCCTAATTGCACAAAGGGTCAAATGTGTGCTTTTATTAGCAGAATATATAAACAAGATTTAATTGATTTATTTTCATTGGTTGCACAATTTTTTATCCCATGTAATAATTCAAATTTTTTTTTTTAATAGTTTCTTAAGAAAGTAGAAGTTATATTAAAATTCATATTCTTATGATCTATAAATAAAAATTAATATCATTTCATTTGGCTACAGAATAAAAAGAGTCAACTTTCATTATAAATTTATATTAGCTGTCAACTATTTTGATGTTTTAATCTTTTTGGTAAATGCATACCAGTAATAGATTTTTATTTGTTGTTTTGTGTGTGTATGTATTAAATTTTTTTAATTTATTTGTTTGAGTAATATTAATTTTAGTATTGTTTTTGAAATATAAAATGAGTATATAATTAAATAAAAATTTAATGAAAAAGTTATGCTATTTTACTTTTAAAATTATTTGCAATCAAAATATTATTAATATTTAATTATTCTATATAACATAAAAGTATAAATTAAAAATAGTAGAATAGAGTGTTGAATTTTATTAAACAAATTATTATAAATTTTAAAATGAAATGAGTGTTAAATAATTAAGTGAAAAAACGATTATGAAATGTTAAGAAAAAAATGTTAAAAATAAATTGAACTGTGGTACATAGTTTAAGAATTCTACGAAAATATTACATGATTTTACTTTTAGTTTCACAAGAGTAACTCTCTTATTTGACTTTTCCTCTTTTTCTCATTTTTCCATTTTCTCAGATTTCTATTTTTTTAATTTTCATTTACTCTAAAAATAATCAACCACGCTCTAAAAATCACTTCATAAGCAATATTTTAAATAGCATTTAGGATGTTTTTCTGCCCCGTCACTCATATCATAACGTTTTTATCACGAAGGAAAACACTTTAACCATATGCTTTTATCTAGATTACGTGGAATCGAAAGTAGGTATGTAGAAACGATGAACTTTCTTAAAAACTGTTTTCACGTACCCATTTTTCTTCTGTGCACCACGTACCCATTTTTAATTTGGTTATACGCTTAAAGTTTAGAATTCTTTCTTTTCTTTTCTATGAACTTGTTCTAAGCAACTATTATCGGCACTATAAACTTTAATAAGATCCGAGGGAAGAATTCATGATGATTAAAACATCTACGAAACATCCTTATTTTCACAAAACTAATTTTAATTATTTAGTAAAAAAAAACTAATTTTAATTAGAAAGGAAAAGAGGTTGTTTAGTTTATCGTTTTATTGCAATAGTTCACAATTACCTTTAAAGTGAAAATGACTCGCGTCTTTAAAGGAGAGGAGGAAAAAACAATAACAACATTTTTTTTTTTAATCAAAAGTAGTATAACTGAAGATTCCACCTTCCTAATAAAAATACTATAAGATAGACTTCTAAAGCTGTCGACAAAACTAAGAGAATTTTATCAGTCGATATATATTTTAGATGCTCTTCTGTTCTCTTTTTTGGTAAAGTGCTCTTTTTTTATACTATCTCGTGAAATTACGAAAAAAATCGAGCTTAAATAATTAATAAATAATGATCAGGAAATTGTTCCCGCAAAAAAAAAAAAACAGGAAAATTTCCAATCTGCCTCTGTCCATTTTCGATAAATATATCAGTTCATTTTCACTAACTAAACATCATGTATATCAACATCATCAATGTTGGCATAAACCATTTAGCACATTCAGTATAACCATAATGCAGTACAGATCTAGCAATATACATCAGAATATAACCTAAAAGATTTAAACCTGCTAAGAGCGCTGATTTTGCAGCTCCTACTCTTCGACCCTAACTTATTTTATCCATCGTTTTATCCCAAAAATTTACTTTGCTCAGACATTAACTATTTTAATTAGAACTAAAGTAGAACAAATTTCTATAGGGTCTCTCTTACTCTTATCTAGGAACGGACATTCGCTTCTCGAGACCCGGTTTTCCGTACAAGCGAAATATCCAACATCGGAGGTGGTGCATTCCACATTTTATCCCTATCCACTCTACCTAAAGCTTACCATTATTATATTCATAGCCATATGCTCTACACATTTGGTATCAATCACTCATCAATAAATCTGTTTATAATTTCTTGTTAGTAGTTGTGGATTGATTAATGTCTTGTATCTAGCAAACCATTTACAGAACTAAACTATTACCACTAGTTAACTCCTTACAAATAAAATAGCACAATTCCCTGACCTCTAACCTCTTTATCCTGTGCTACTACATATGTTATTTACTATGAGACTAGACCAAGGAACCAAAAAGCATATTTTTATCTTCATCATGTTACTTAACACTCGGTGGGAAATTAAATCTCCATCATAGGCCTTAATATGGAAAATACACTCTGACTCGGATCAGAGAATCAATCTAGTAGAGTTATTACAGTTCAAAAAACAAACTAGTAGAGTTACCACTCCAGTTCAACTAATGTATATATTTCCTATTTAATATGGCGCTATTTAAATTAAACAAAGCGATCATCATTTTCATGATATTTTTACTGAAGTGACATATCTATATATTAACAAAAAGAATATTGTAAAATTAAAAAAAATTATATAGAGCTATAAAATTTGTTAAATAACGTTTTCTGTTTACATTGTGTGTGATAAAACAAATAACAAATTTGAAAACTATAGCTAGCTAGTTAAAGACATTTATCTATTTTTTTACTCTGATTTTTAAAATATTTATTTTTATTGAGGTGTTTAAAGCATAAAATAATCTCTTTGTTTTTTTAAAAAATTATTTACCTTCACATTTTGGTTAACTCTCTCCATTTTTCTCTTCCAAATTCATATATTTTGGGTATATATATGCTGATAATTAAACACCTCCTGATCGTATGCAAATTCTGCTCATAGCATAATACTTACCTTTGGTAGGAAATTTTTCACATAAATTGGGAAGGCTTTGTGGAGCCCCAAGCTCGAGCCATATAGACTATAGAGCTCATTATCCTCTTGCGTAATTACACTTTCCATTATTTTTTATTATTTTAATTATTATTATTTTTTTGGAAAAAAGAAAATATGATCCCTGCCTCTCTCTCTCTCTCTAGATAAAACAGTCCCATAGAAATATATTGTACAATAACCAAAAGGCGGTTTCATACAATTCTTCATCTATTATCTCTAGCTTTTTACAGAGAGACAAACCAAGAAAGAAGACGGTGGTGGTCACCGTCGATGGATGGAATGTTTGGTTTCCATCCAACATGTGACTACTCAGATAAAGCGGTGGTGATGATGTCACCGGACAATCTGATGTTTCCTTCCGACTACCAAACCTTGCTTTGCTCCTCCGCCGGAGAAAATCGTGTCTCCCATGTTTTCGGTTCGGACGAGTTACTCTCAGTAGCAGCCTCCGCTATGTCCTCAGAAGCTGCTTCGATGGCTCCTGAGATCCGAAGAAACGATGGTAACGTATCGCTTGGTGTCATTAAGGCGAAAATAGCTTGTCATCCTGCGTATCCACGGTTACTACAGGCTTACATGGATTGTCAGAAGGTGATTTATTTATACAAAACAGTGATCGAGAATAATCGTGGTTCACTGTTTCCTCGATTAGCGTTCTGTCTCTTGTCTCTTTGTGCTCATTAAACACTTTTATAATTTCACCTCTGTAAGAACTTTGATCATCTTCAACGTTTTTTGAATGAGTTACTCAGAAATTTAGGCTTATTTTACTTTCTTGGCGATATTCAAGAAAGTATTATGGATTGTTATTTATAATTTTATGGTTAAACAAATTAAAGGAAAAACGAAACCATGTGTTTGGTAATAATTTTCTTGTTTTTTTCACGAGTAACATAATTCAATAATAAATAACGGTGTGAGATTTTGATAAACTTTTTTTTTTTTGTAAACTAAGATTTTGATAAACTTTGCAGGTCGGAGCACCACCGGAGATAGCGTATCTACTAGAGGAGATTCAACGGGAGAGCCATGTGTATAAGCAAGGCGTTGGTCCATCATCATCTTACTTCGGAGCTGATCCGGAGCTTGATGAATTCATGGTCTATCTCTCTTTCTTGATTTTCTTTTCGGATTCTTTTTGTTTTTTTTTTAAACAAGTAAATCATTATTTGGTTGGTGAGATTCCAGGAAACCTATTGTGAAATATTGGTAAAGTATAAGTCGGACCTCGAGAGGCCGTTTGATGAGGCCACGAGCTTCTTGAACAAAATTGAGATGCAGCTACGGAACCTATGCACTGGCGTGGAGTCTGCCAGGGGACTTTCGGGTAAGTCATTTTTTCTTAATAAATACCTCTCTGGTTCAGTGGTTAATTAAGATTTGGTGTTTGGTCTCTGAGTGATGTTTTCTGATCTTTGTGTGATTTACACTCTATTTATATTGTGCTTTATACGATAACTGTGTCTTTACGTTACATTAATTTGCCACACTAACCAGGAAAGATAGTGAATTCGTTTCAATAATTCTATTTATATGAACCGTCTTTGAAATATGATTGGGAGACTAATGATTTTAAGAACCCTAATTTCCTCTTATCTGTGCAAAAAACAAAATAGAAAAAAAATAAACCCTAGGTTTGGTGGAGATGTTTGAGTGACTGAGTCACATATTTCATCTCCAGAGCCACTTACTTAATGAGGGTTTTGTTGTGTGTTTACTGCTTCATATGTCGTCTTTAAGGTCTAATTACCTTGGAACAGTATTTGCCATTATTTTACTTAATGAGGGTTTTGTTGGGCTTTTTCATACTCTTCACGCTCTCTTTCTTGTTTATCTTTGTGGAAATCATACAATTTTAACTTTATATTCTTTTTTTTCCCTGTCAGAAGAAAAATGATCTTGAAAGCACTTAACTTTTGCGGTAGAGATTCTGATTTTGACGTTTCAGAGTCTTGTTGCGTACTGAATTTTATTTTTTCCAACTTGCTGCTTTTTCCAGTGAAAACCTGTCGACAGGAGAAAAACCTAGTCATGACCTTTACCAATATTTTTTGTTGATTTTCACGACCTTATTTTTTGCTTGTTGTCCCCATCTCCCTTGTTGGATTAACATCTATTCTAGGGCACCAGATGATTTTCATAACCAATTAGGCAGAAAAATATTAACAATAAAAACACTTATAACGCTCACTCACAGATAAGATAATTTCGGAAAATTAAGTTTTCAGCACATTCATTGTCGTCAGAACTAAAAACATTTTACAACACCAACTCCTATTCTTATCAAGAGAAGTTTGACTCTGATCTAGTTCAAGTTCCAATGATCTGAGAACAAGACCAAACTGGAGATTTTTGTTGATCATCGAAATTGACGTCATTGCCAAGTGTCTGATCTTATGTGCATGTCGTGTGTTAAAACTTAAAAGTGTTTGATGTCATCGAAATTGGTGTCATTGCCAAGTGTCAGTTCTACTGGTTTTAGGTTTATGTTTGAACCAAAATTTTTTTATGTTAGTATATGAATGAAATTTTTTGGAGCAGTCATCTTAATAAGATTTACGGTTATAAATATAGCAAAAGCATTTTTGTGGCCTTAACAAATTAACTGATCACATTAGTGGACATATGAATAATGGCTTACAAATTTTAATTAATTAATTAGTTTGAAACTCCACCTAAGACATGAAAGAATCAGCTGTAAAGATATAGAACTTCATTTAATGATGTACTTTTCCAGCTCTTGAGGGTTTTCCTTATCGCGTTAGATCTCAAATGCAGCTCCACTTGTACTTTGGTAAGATTGTTTATTGTGGAATAAAACTGCTGATATTGAACATTTCGGCGTATTTTAATTAATTAGTCGAGAGTTTGTGTAGAGAATCAGCTGGAAAAGGTTGATAAATAGATCACTGCAGGTTGTCAATGGTGGGCGAATGCTTGTGATTAACTATTTTAATATTATTCAAAGTACAGTTTACCTTTTGAATGATCTCATCTTCTTTTTTAATCTCATCTTCTTCTTCTTTTAAATTAGTTGTGAGCCTTAACCATCTTTTTCTTTCTACTTGAATAACCGAGTTTTTATTGCACCTGAACGAATCATAAACTAATAAAAAATACAATGTTAGATTAGATTCACATGAGATGTGATTTACTAGTTTCTTAGATTATTCACATGCTTTGATTTCTTTCGTTCTAATCCGCTTTATTAATACAACTAATCCTTGGCTCCACCAAAGTTGACTAAAATAGTTTTTTTGATACATCACTAATTCAAGCGGTTTGGCTACATGAACAACATGGTACTCGTGCTTTCTTTGGACTATTCTTATTTTAGTGTTTATCTAATATACTAATCTCTGATTGATTTTTCCCTTTTAGTTATTCTCTTCTTTGTGAAGTATCTTTCCAGATTACTATCATAAGTATGTTGCATGCATCATCATAGATGTTTTTGCATAATTGATCTTAAGGAGTAGAATATTCTTATGGTATGAAAATAGGATCATATATACTGCATGATAAGCTTGAATTAGAGTCCATTTTTTGTTTTTGTTTATAGTAAAAGGTTTGGGAGTCACATGGACTCCCGTTGATTCCGCTAGTGATCTCCCACCATTGCCCCCACTTACCTTTCGCTCCTAAAAGATTTTGTTTTTGATTGGTATTTTTTCAAAAGTAGTAAAAGGAGACATAGGGTTCTTTATACCTCAATCAAATCATCTATAAGACTGACAATGCTTCTCTATTTTTCTCAACTCTTTTGCACATAGTGATTAGTGAGTAGTGGTCGTCATTTCCTCTGGTTGCATTGTTCCCTTGGTGGGTCGTGTTATGTCCATCTGGGGCACGCTACTTCCACGTGTCTGCTTATTTGCATGTAAAACTATTTTTTTCAAGCAGTCAATGAAACTGTAATAACATAACTACAGACGATTTTTTCTTGCATTTAACTATTAACCTCATTCACATGTATGTGTGTATACAGTATCGATTTTTTGCTCCACTTTCAATCGTTTCTGTCTGACATTATCGTGAACAGCTCAGGTTTTTTTTTTTTTTTTTTTTTTAACTGGAACAGCTCAGG